CCTGCCACAATGCGCAGCTATTTTTTGTTAAAAGTTTGGCCGGGGCCGGGTTCAAACCCACCACTCTCGGTATATGGGGCCAGCGCCCTACTCACTGAGCCATAGGCACTACCCAGGACACTGATTTCTTTTGCAGCTCTACAGCCAATCATGATTGCAGCTTTCCCACATAAGCTAAAAGACCCCAACTCAATATCTACCTCTAAGCCATGAGTCATCTATGAAGCACTGTGAATGCTGACACTGAACCATTCATCTACCCGTGGTTCTCAAAACATTCATTCTCAACAAAAATTTCATACCTTGATACAGCTTTAATATAAAAACCTTGTGATCTCAGAGAGTTTGTCCAAAAGCAAAAATGTCCCTACAAAGACATCATAGCCACCCTAGCTGTTAAAAATTCGATCAACCTACACAGCACAAAATCAGGCTGCCACCTATTTAAAAGGGCGAGGAACTCAGGTTTTATTGGCAATATTATAAACTACTAAAAACCATCCACAGCCATTCTCAAATACTTTAATAACTTCAGCACATATGGGAATAAATTATGAAGTTTCTGATCAACATATACATGTACTATCCAATCCAAATAATTTCCTACTATCCTAAAGCCCCAAAGACCCCAGGGGCTCCAATCCTACTTTGATTCCCCCTCATTTCAACTATCCTACATACAAGAGACTCTTAAAAGCCACTACTGAACTCCCCTCTAAGTCACTTTTCATCTAGAATATTGTTTTTTGTTTTTTGAGACAGTCTCATTATGTCATCTTTGGTAGAGTACTGTAGCGTCACAGCTCATAGCAACTTCAAATTCTCAGGCTTAAGGGATTCTCTTGCCTCAGCCTCCCAAAGAGCTGAGACTACAGGCACCTGTCACAATGCCCAGCTATTTTGTTGTTGTTGTTGTTTAGTGGCCCAGCCCAGTTAGAACCCACCAGCCCGGGTGCATATCGCTGGCACCACAACCACTGTGCTATGGGCGCTGAGCCCAGCCAGAACAATGTTTTTAAAACATAAATCTCCTGGCTCGGCGCCTGTGGCTCAAGCGGCTAAGGCGCCAGCCAC